GTCAGGATTTACGATTCATGCTCGGGCCCCCTCTATTAGGAAAATTGCCAAATTTTTTTCATCTTCACCCAAAAAATAAAAATCCATTTTGAACAATGATCAAGATCTGTGCCGGCTTTCTTTAGGGGAAAAAAAATTGTTTTGACTCGGCGAGCTTCAAGAAAGTTTCCCTATTTTCCGTGGGTTCAAAACTTCGTTATCCTCATATTCATTCAAAGGGTTAAACACTCGTACTGTAATGGGTCCATAAGGCTGATGCGATTTATTTGTTCTTGCCGTGATGAGGAAAAGGCGACAATTTTTTGCTTAATATTTTCCCCGAAGTTTTTGAGAAACATTTTGATGCGCAGTGCCTGGATTGAGTCGTATTCATTTTTCGTCTTGTGTATCATCAGGATTTGTTCATTATATTCGTTTTCATAGTTATGGTGTTGGTCGGACAAAGAAATTCCTTCATCGCCGCGGAAATCATTCGGATGACACATTTCATTCCACCAGCTTCGAATGGCAACGCTTGGAAAATGATATCTCACAGGTTAGCAATATGATGAACGCAAACCTAGTCGAAAAAATTATGATAATCCGAAGATTATTTAATTTGCCTCACAAATTTTAATAGCAATATACCCAGCGAATGAAGTTTTTACTAACATTAAAAAAAAACCCTTCAACAATTGGTGCAACCCTTATTGTATCTCATCTGTCCGCACGCGAAAATGAGGAATTATGGGATACGAAACGCGGGATGCAAAGTTACGTCGCCTTGTTTTGGCTTTCATCATTTTGGGATTCAAGGGATTGTTTTATATTTTTATTTGACCATTGTTTCCCCTCCCCTGTTTCGTGGGTGTTGTAATATCGGGTTCAGGAACGCGTCAAGCCCGCCGGGTTGCTTCACGTGCTGCCCTATTGCGGGCCCGACAAGAAGTGGGTGTTCCTCGGCGCATTGGGGTGCATGCTGTCCGGACTCGTCATGCCCATCTACGCCTTCCTTTATGCCGAAATTTTCAATGTGAGTTATTCTGACTTGAGACTGAATTTTGTTTTTAAACACTGACGACAAAAAAAACTAGACCTGAACTGATATACGAGGGGTTACACGTTTCCGCGCGGACCCGTTTCGGCTCGGACTTGGAATGATCTGAACACCAGGGATAAAAAAAAAACATTTTTCTGATGCTAAGGGATTCTAAGTGGCTAGCCAGACACCTTCTCAATGTAATTACCACCCATTTGTACACACTTCTCAGCCCTTTTGATCCATGTGTTGAAATTAGCATGCATTGAAATGTCAAGTTAAATTTTGAAGCCTCATCCGCAGATGAACAGGAACAATTGTAACAAGGTGATCCGCGCGGAACCGTGCAACCCCTCGTACTCAGCTTTACTGCTGGATGAAATTGTCTGGTACAATGCCGTTAAGGAAATATTGATTTGAAGAGTGGCCCAAGGATAATTCAGTCGTCGTTATCGCTGCAAATCTCTTATTTGTATATTTTAAATTTCGCAGACATTTACTCTAACTGGAGAGGAGCTGAGAAGATCTGCGGCTTTTTGGTCTCTCATGTTCGTGGCGTTGGCAGTCCTCGGTGGCATCGGGGCCATGATCAGGGTGAGTCACACTGCAGGAAATATGCAATTTTATTTACTTTTTTATCTTCAAAAAAAAAAAACACACACACACACATTGTTTCTCATTCCTGGTTTGAAATAGACAATAGGAATGGGTTTTGCTGGTGATTCCCTGACGACGAGGATGAGGCTATTGTGCTTCAAAAATATTCTGAGGCAGAACATCGCCTGGTTCGACGAAGAAAAGCACTCGACTGGGAAACTGAGCACCAGGCTGGCAACGGATGCACCCATGGTTAAAGCTGTGAGCAGCACTTTTGAATTAGTTTTTCTTTCTACATGCATATAAATATTTTTATTTTATATGTATGTATATATATTTTTTATCTATACAAAGGCTGCTGGACACAGACTGGGGATTGTTCTCGCAGCAGTGGTAACCATTATTGGAGCAATGGCCCTTGCATTTGTGTTTGGCTGGAAGCTCGCTTTGGCTATTTCTGCAGCATCTCCTGTTTTGGTTATTGCTGGGTTCATCCAGATCAAGGTTCAGAAATTTGCACAGCAGAAAGACGCTGTTTTGATGGAAGGCGCGGGAAACGTGAGCAGTCAGCAAATACAGTTTTCCTATCTTTTATGAAATAAATATTTTAAAAGTTGAATGATTCTTGTGCAGCTGCACCAGGGTATTTTTTTCTTGAAAAAATTCGCCATCAAGCATTCTACATAAGAACAGTTCAAGTCAACCTTGGAGACAGCATCCACAAGGAAATTTCACTTGAAGAATTTTTTAGTTGGAAAAAAGTGCCGTTCTCAATATAAAATAAATTTATGATATCATGGAAAGGTGACATTTGTGATATTCTGGGTTTGAAACGGCAAAACAAATAATTTGACAGGATGTTGAACATGGAGGCAAGAGTTCCTTTGTCAAATTAAGCTCTTGAATTTTTCTGGAAAGGATTAAATTATATCTTTATCGCACTGCTCCTTTCTGGCCCCCAGAGAAATCGGAAGACCTACAGAAATTAAAGTTATGGAGACTTGAGGGGGAATGTCTTATATTATGGGAGGTCTAGATTGAGTTTAACAGAATTCAGCCGATGTCAAAATTTGTAGCTTTCTGGCTTATGGATGTTTGAGTTATGAAGGTCCAACAATTCAAATTATAGAGGCCAGCTAATCTTAGAGACCTGCCATTATTTACAGCAAGGTCAGTACATTGCCTTGGGTCAAACCAAAATGCTTGAGCACTTGAAAATTATTGACATCAGCATGCAATAGAAAAAATATTATCACAGAATTGATAATCGGTTATATTTAATAAAAATATCATTCTTGGTCCTCTTTTCTGATGTGTGCTATTTATATTTTTTTCTGTGTTTGGACAGGTTGCAAGTCAAGCAATCCAAAACATCAGAACTGTTCAGGCTTTGAACAGAGAAAGAACATTCTTCATAAAATACATCAACCAGCTGCTGGAGCCCTTCAGAGAAGCCAAAAAGCAGGCATATGTCTATGGCTTGGTTTACTCATTTTCCCAAGGTGTGATTTTCTTGATTTATGCTGGAGCTTTCCGACTTGGAGCATATCTGGTTTCCATTGAAGACATGTCTCCAACCAACGTTTACAGGTTTGCAGAGAAGCTCTCATTTTTCAAAAAAACAATTTTTAATTATCATTAATGACGATGATATTTTTTTCTGCAGAGTGTTTTTTGCGATTGCATTTTGTGCAATATCTGTTGGGCAGATGAATTCCTATATTTCTGAGTACTCCAAAGCCAAATTATCTGCTGGACTCTTGATTGGTTTGATCAAAAGGAGACCAGAAATTGATTCCTACTCAAGTTATGGAGTCTTTCAAGTGAGTATGATAAGCATACAGTCAACCCTCACACAATGTTCCATTTGGTTAACGTTTTTTCACTTACTGTTCCCATTTGTAAGCCCAAAAATCTCCACCAAACTGGCACCAAACATCAAGCTTGAAGCAGGGTTAGATGCGCTTCAAAGTTTTTAACATTTTCTTTTTTTAACCCTTGGGTGGCAAAGTTGGACTATTTTTGCAAAATTTTGTTGCACCTCAGAGAGGTCAAGAAAAAAATGAAAACAGGTGGTGAAGGGCAAAGTCAAGAAAATTCCCAACGTTTTTTTTTCCCTGGGGGCAGAAAAATTTTTCCGGAAAACAAGTAGTAGAGCATCCGCAGTGCGGACGAAAAAACAAATAAAATGAAAAAAAATTGCAGAAGTGGGATTCAAACCCACGCCTGCAGAACCAGACTGTGACCTGAACGCAGCGCCTTAGACCGCTTGGCCATCCTGACAAGTTAATGTTAATTGATGCATTTTCAAGTACACAAATTAATTCAAGGTGCAAAAGGCCACAGACACACATTACACGACGTCCTTATTATTCCCCCCCCCCAGACCCCTGTAGGATCATACTGGTTGTTCCTCCCACTGCAGACATTAAAAAATGCTCAGGGATGCTACCAGCTTTTCTTGGATTATTCCCAACATTGCCTCAGCCCACCTGGAAGGGTTTTCCTGACCTTCTAAAAACTTAAAATGAGGGAGCATACAAAAATAATCCGATTTTGTCCTGCTATGGGGAAGAACCCTCCGCCGTCCAAGGGTTAAATCACAAAAAATATTCAGAATTGACAGATGAGATATAATCAAAAGCACAAAACTTTTTTGAAAATTGAGCCAGAATGTTTCATTTTTAAATTGCATAAGAAATTTTGTTATGGGCCTAATTTTAAAAAGTTTGCACCTTGAATGCACCTGAAAGTTCTGTAAATGTTCCTGTTTTCTTATTAAAAGATATTTCCCAACACCAACTAAACATTTCTCCTTTATATCTTAAGGGAGAGACTACCTTTCTTAACGTTTTTTTTCAGCTAACATTTTTTTCTGCTGCACCAACTAAAAACATTAAGCAAGGGTTGACTGTACACTTGTTTGCCTTGGGAATTATTGCTGAATGACTCATCTATTATCACAGCCTGTGAAGGGGAAAGTGGGATTCAGAGACGTTCACTTTTCCTACCCACAAAGAGCACAAGTGCCTGTTCTTCAGGGACTCTCAGCCACTGTTTCCCCAGGACAAACTCTGGCTGTTGTGGGACCAAGTGGTTGTGGTAAATCCACAGTTATTTCCCTCATCCAAAGGTTTTATGACCCTCTTAGGGGTCAAGTGGTGAGTTCAGCTAATCTTTATCTAATTTATGTAGCATTTTCTGGAAAAGAAAAAAAACTGGTAGATCGATTGCCTACATTTGGGAAAATTTGCCGCCTCTGTTGCCCATATGAGTGTCCAAGCAGTAGACTGAATAAAATCTGACCATTTGGGCGAATGGGTTATGATAAAATGAATTGAATCTATTCTAAGCCTTCTGCAGCAAAGCTGGGATTTTCAAATTTTGCCAGGCACTGAAAATTGTTTTGACTTGTGCATCAAAGTTCTGGACTTGGTTTTATGGCACAGCTGCTTTTTCTTTGATAAAATCAGAATACAGTACTCTAATGCAGTATTCCCCAACCTGTGGTCCATAGACTGGCACTGGTTTGCACACGTTTTTTGCTGGTCTGCAGGAGATTTTCAGCATAATACATTTAATAAAAGTAGCAATGAACTCTATTATCATTATCTAAAAGTTTGAGAAGACAATATGGCAGTTGAAATTATTTGATGAAAAATAAAATTTGGCTTTTTTCCTAATATCACTTCAGACACATTTTTACCTGCTGACATAAATTATTTTAATTTCTTATTTTGAGAAACCTTTCTTCAAGCCCACCTTTCTAAGTTTTTGATGACATTCAGCTATAGTTGTTTCATATGTGCTTAACTCAATTTTTTAAAGAAGCAAAACTCTTATATACCTGCCATAAAGTCTATCAAGCAAAATTTTTTCAAGTCTGTAAACATTTTATGAAACTTTGCTAGTCCCCAGAACATGTTTTGGGAATACTGTATGCCTGTCCAAAAAACGTTTCATGGAATTTGCCAGTCTGCATGCCCAAAAAGGTTGGGAACACTGCTCTACTGTGTTAAAAAATCCAAACACTTCCCTTTGGATGGTAACCAATGGCTATAATGACATTACAGATTGATCAGATATTCAATGAAAAAATCAGAATAGTTCAATTGCAGCTATTGCTGCACACAATTTTTATTCAGTAAATTTTGAGTTCCAAAGGTTTGAATAATTATTTCCCGCTCCATTTCAAAATAAGGAAAAGGGATCACACATATTTTTGATTCTTGACTAACCCCATAAATTATATTGCTGACTATATTAGATTTTGTACCCTGTGATTCAATGTATAGAAATGTCTACAGCATTGTAAATTCGGAAGATTCAGATTAGTTTGTTGTTTCCTGGGGCTTTTTCCGGATGGTATTAAAATGCAAATTGTTACAAGGGTTTTTCGGAGAAAAAGAACCTATTCCGGTGATGTATCAGATGGGAAAACCCCCACAGGTTCTCTTGCCTGAACGGAATTCTTCCTGAATCCATTTAATCTTCGTTCGTGTTTTTGGTATTCATGCTCAATTTAAATATAATCTACATTTTTTTATATTTTACTCAAAAAAAGAAAACCTGCCGTCGGATAAAAGATGTTGTTTCCTTTTGCCACGATTGATGTCTGACGTGATCATCACGATCATTAAGCGGGTATAAATGATTCCTAGAAGATGCATATTCTAGGAATCTGTCAGAAAAAGATTGATTCTGTTTGTTGTACATCAACTCGTACTGCACCTAAAAAGACATCTCTATAAAAATGCGTGTCATGTCCGTGTCTGCGGTGGTTATAATCTGATTTTTAATTTTATTCATTTATCGACTGGCATTCCAATTTCCGTGGGGACATCCAGAAGTTTGAATAAAAATTGCATTAACAGAGAGATGCTGGTAGTTGTAAACGAATGTTATATTTTCTGTATACCAACTGCGCAAAATGTCTTCAAAAGTACTCATCGTCATCTATTTTTTAATATTTTGAAATTTTCGAATAAAAATGTGCGAGCAGAGATATGCTGGGATTTCTCTCAGAAATTTATTTTTCTCTATCAAATGTACAGAAAATCTTCGTATTTATGTACTCGCCATTAAGTTTGCCAATTTGTCAGCCTTGATTGAAGCGAGATTTCTCAAATGTTTATCGAATCCAAAATTTTAAACTCCCGATAAAGAAGATCATAAGAACAGGCGGTGAAAAAAAAAACCGTGATTCGCGAGAATCGGAAAGAAAAAATTGACAATCATGCCGTAGAAATATGTCGTTTTTGCACTGTTCGCATCAACGTTCAAATGGTAATTTACATGTTAACACAGTTGGTTGTTTCAATAAAATTTGTGAAGTTACAGCGAAGCTACATTGTGATAGTTTATAACGCAGTGCTTATTTGCGAAAATGTGGGGCCAGGATTTTTCTACGCGGCTTCCTTTGAACTTTCTGACCTTCCCATGCTTTTTTGTTGTTGTTGCTGAGAATCTATATATTCAACAGGAATTTTAAATCCCCTCTCAATTTATATTCAAAACGCATTTCTTCTAAATCGCCTTTGTCAGGACGAAGAACGAGAAACGTACCTGCGGAATACGTCCTTAGAATCTTCCGTCACTCGTTCCACTGTTATATTGTTCATATACAAAGGATCGATCTGTTCGAAGCAGGGAAATAAATAAAAATCGGAGAAGAAAAAAAGATTTTCCGCAGCCCAAGATTCCAGAATGATTTCTTCTCGATGGAAATGAAGTGCATGTTTCGGTTGATTGACGCGTTTCTAGACTGTAGACGACGTGGATCTGCGGTCGTACAACTTGCAGCACATCAGGCGCCAGATCAGCGTCGTGTCGCAAGAGCCCGTGTTGTTCGATTGCTCCATCAGGGAGAACATCACGTATGGGCTCCAAGACCCTGACTTTGTGCCCTTGGCCGAAGTGGAAGCAGCTGCCAAAAGCGCCAACATTCACGACTTCATCGTCAGCCTTAGTCAGGTATATACATGTGTGGGCATATTATACCCGCTATAATACTGTACACTTGGACTCTGGTTACAACAACCTTGCCTACAACAATTTTCTCTGCACAAGGCTTTTTATTTTAATTTTTTTTTTCATATAGGGTTCTCTCCCAAGGTTATATATACAGTGAGACCCCGAGATGCGGACGTAATTGGTGCATCAAGAGTGTCCCTGAGTCGAAATGTCCCTAAGTCAAGTCTCATTTTCCCTTAGACTGACATTATATAATTTTTAATTGGTGTTTTATGTACAAAATACTCACCATGATTCCATGAAAACAAAAATTGTCTTCCAATTTAAACTGATTCCAATCAATATATTTCGACACAATATGGGCATTTGGGGAATTGAATGCTGTTACCTTCGTACAGTACATAGCAATGTTGGCATTCTCCGTAAAAATAATTAAAATAAAAAGCATTGTGCAGAGAAAATTGTTGTAGGCAAGGTTGTTGTAACCAGAGTCCACTCGTACATGATTATAGCGGGTNATAATATTCAAGTGAAAAAGAGAGAAGGAAGTCCCTCTCTGCTGGAGGTAATTTTTTTAATTAGCTAAATGGATGGTAAATGGGTTCAGAAAAATATTTAAAACTCTTCCTCAGCTGTAATCTGAATAAAAATCACGCCTTGAGAACATATTTGAAAATGAATTACGTATTTTTCCTCATAAAGAGTTCAACCTACACTTCATTCCCAAGTTACTATATCAAGAAAAAGTTGAAATCCCTGGACTATAATGGTCGGAACAATTCAAACGCTGAGAAAAAATATTTCCTGCGTAGTAACATGATTATCTCTTCCCTCCGACGACTTGATGGCAAAATAGATGCGTCTGAATAAATTCCATCTTGGCAAACCTCATTAATAATCTTCCGTGTGGGCAGGTTGACAAGAGCTTCTCTTCAGACACAGGATCATTCTTGATGTTCTTTTTTTCTTTTCATAATTTCAACTATATGACTTGATTCGCTCGCCAGTTACCAGCATGATGCCTGCAGGAATATCTTTTCTGTAAAATTTTTACATATGAATTTACAAGTTGCCAAGAAAACCTGCCGGAAGACAAGGTTTCATTATCTCGTACAGGGGTTCGTCCTGCATTAGGCTTTGCTGCACCCTTGAATCTCTTGAAGTACCTCGAATGTCACAGATTTTTTAAGCATATGGGTACGTCTATTTTTAATCCGTTCTTGGCCTGTATGTCAAAAGGGGCAAGAGACATATTCTGTGATAGTGTAATGGTCTTGAAGTTTCTGTGATTTATGCCAGTTTTTTTTCTGGATTCGAGCATATTTAGGAATTTTAGTTGAAAAATTCTTCTGGTTCCGTTATAAATTAACATTTACGAGCGAGACAATTCCCAGCCTTAAAAATATGAGAAAATACAAGAATATGATTATGATTCAGCTCAGTTTATTTGAAAATGAAAAAGCGTCAGTTCAAATATAAAATCATGGTTAAGGCTGAATTTTCTCTGAGTATTTATATATGTTGGGTATGCTGGCAAGCATTGCTTTCAATTTTCCTCAGGAAAGTCTCGCTTTAAATGCATGATAGGCATATTTTTGCTAGTACAGTATCGTACCATACTTTTTGAAATGAAAAATAAAAAACCTATTTTTCTGTGCACAACTGGGTTATGTGCACCCAAGTTGTCAGTGGCCAGAAATTGAGTGAACTATAGAAAAGCAGAATGTCAAAATTTGAACTCACATGCATTTTATTTCCATTTTTTCGTTTTGATATGAATTGCCTTCTTTTCAACGGGGCTGCTCATGTTAAAATAAAACTAGCTCTAAAAAATTTAATGTTGTGCACAGAAAAAATTATCAATAAGATAATGATCATCAAATGTTTTCTTCTCAATCTTTGGAAAACAAAGTGATTCTGGCACCGCATTTGATTAATTTTGGTTTGCAGCATAGGAGGGCTTTTTCTTTCTGATTCTGCACTGTACTTCTGTTGCGTCCTGCAAAGATTATTTTGTGCTAAATTTTCAGGGCTACGAGACGAGAGTGGGCGACAAGGGCACCCAATTATCTGGGGGTCAGAAACAGAGAATTGCCATCGCAAGGGCTTTGATCAGAGATCCAAAGATTCTCTTGCTGGATGAGGCCACTTCAGCTCTGGACACCGAAAGTGAAAAGGTAATTCATTTTTTAACCCTCGGGCAGCTGTAGGTTGATTTCCGAAAAAAAAATTGACTCGGGGAGGTATCTGACGTAGGGAGGTTCAACTTATCAATTTTCAGCTGTATATATACAGACCCGATTTCGTGAACAAGAAAATTAACGTCGTCTCTGTCTAAATTGGTGCCTTTATTGTCCTGAAGAGTTCCTCATTAATGCGCAATATGCGGGGCTTGAAACAAAAGCACAAAAAAAAAGAAGAAGAAAAGATGAAGAGTGACCCTGGGATTCTGTTGCAGGTGGTGCAAGAGGCCATTGAAAAGGCCAGAGTAGGGAGAACCTGCATAATAGTGGCCCACAGGTTGTCTACCATACAGAGTGCGGATTGCATAGCTGTCATGGACAGGGGCCGGATTGTGGAGCTGGGGACACACGAGGACCTCAGGGCCAAGAAGGGCATTTACTACCAGCTGACCAAGAGGCAGCAAATCAGTCATTGATCTCTCTCTCATTATTGTTCTCAAATCTCTGTCTCGCAGATTCAGTCATCTTCTTTTCTTTTTCTGTGGGGCGGTTATAATTTTTGTTTTAGATACAGGACTATACGAGGGTTCTAACAAAAGTTCTCGGAATGAAAATGAAGATGGCGTCTAATTGAGCTGGAAAAAAATTATTCTTTAGGGCAACCATATTCTTTGGCACAAAAAAAATCAGCCCTGTGCCAAAGAATATGGTTGCCCTAAAGAATAATTTTTTTCCAGCTCAATTAGACGCCATCTTCATTTTCATTCCGAGAACTTTTGTTAGAACCCTCGTATATTTATGCACTCTTGACCACTCCCAAGCGAACGCATTCATTTTTAATGCGGCTCAAGTTTTGGGGGGAAAATTGCCGGATTTTTTGTTATTCGCATTTGGGAAATTTCTTGAAGTAATCTTGCTCAGATTTGCAGTATTTTAGTGGTCATCGACTTGTTCTAAATTTTAGCCGTTTAACGTATTTTATTCTGCGGTGCGATGGGGGAATTGTCAAAATCAATTATGGTTTATTCTTCTGGAGTTCGATTTCTTTCGATTTTAATTGAAGTCAATGCGAATTTAACTTATTTTATCTCCGCTCACGAGTAAAATATTCATATTTTGTAGGGCTTATCAAGTACAGTATTAATGCTGGATTTCTTGTTCGCACTTCTGTGAAGGGAAGTAAGAAATTTCTTGACGAAATCATGTTCAGATTTTTCATCATTTTAGTGGTCGACAGTTTTCGATTTTAGCCATTTAGCGTATTTTATTTTTGCGTAAGTTGCTGTGTGATGGGGGAATTGAGGAAATGAAGTATGGTTTCTTCTGGAGTTTGATTTTTTATTATTTTAAAACAGATCAATGCGAATGTGCCTTTTTTCTTAAATCACCACTCGCAATAAGTAAAATAATTTCAAGTCTCGGAAAAATAATTGCTGCATTTCGTTTGCTGACTTCCGTGGCCAAGGGGGAATTTCTTGAAGAAATCTTGTTGAGATTTGCAGTATTTTAGTAGTCCACAATTTTGAATTTGAGCCGTTTAACTGGTTTGATTTTGCGTAAATTACCGTGTGATGATGTGGAATTTTGATGATGAAGTGTGGTTTCTTCTGGAGCTCCATTTCTTTCGATTTCCATTGAAATCAATGCGGATGTTACTTATTTAGTCACCACTGACTAGTAAAATATTCATTTTTCAATGCATTTCAAGTCTTTGGAAAATAATGCTGAATTTCTTTGTTCGCACTTCCGAAGAGAAGTAGAAAATATCTTGACGAAATCTTGTTCAAATTTGCAGTAATTTAGTGTTCCACAGTTCTGAATTTTAGACTTTCAACATGGCTTATTCTGCGCACAGTAATTTTCTGTGCGTTGGGGAATTTCACAAATGAGGTACGGTTCTTTCTGGATTCAATTTACTGGAAATCAGTGTGACTTATATATTAATTTCAGCATTGAGAAGTCCATTATACTTATTAGGCGTTGGTTTCTCTTAGCTGGGAAAACGAGAGCCTCTTCTCAAGATAATAATATTCAGTAAAAATATTCAAATGAAGCTCATTTGCAATTCAGGAAGTAAACTTCGCTCTGTTTGGTGACCAACAAGTACACTGAAGAGGTACCCAGCAAATCTTGTTTTTATTTTCCTTTCACGGACTCCCGTTTTATTTTATACGTCCATGAATTTTTTGTTGAAGCAAAAGCGTGCGAATACTTTTGAGTAGATGACAATGCCCTTGATGATTGTAAGTACAGTACTGTACTAGCACATTTTTTTGCTTTTTAAGATATGCAATCTTGATTTTTAATTTGGACGCCGTTGATGAGTGACATCTGTCGCAACTTTGGAAAAAATCGGGACACGAAGCGTAGAAATGACTAAAGCAACGGAAGGTTTTGAATAATGCCTCGACGGATTTTTAAGGACGAATCGTGACTAGTTGAACATTATTTTATGCAATTTCGCAGGGAATCCGAATAAATGTTGTCCGATTGGCATTCAAATTTATTTTGTCTTGTCTTGCGGAAAATCGCGAACCCGAGAAGTCAATTTGTCACCCGTTGCGATAGAGGGAAGTCAGTCCCTCGCGGATCCCGTTAACATCCGGTTTCCGCGACGACATTTGCATACTTCAGCTCATTCGGAACCCGTACAACATGCGAAAAAAAGGCATCGGTCAGAAGAATACATTCAACAACAACAAACAACTAAAAAAAAAAATGAGAGAGAGAGAGAGAACCCACGAGATACCCAGGCTGCATTTTTCGGGCGCGGTAAACGGAATGCTCAATGGTTCAGGAAGAACCTTTGCGCGGCCGCTTCTTGAACCCGGAACAGAACCCAACTCATGTATATCTCTCACTCTCGCTTGTTTTCCACCAATTTTTTTTTTTCCTAACTACGACAAGAATGCTTCAACTACAAAACGAGTTCGACTCGAGAGACATTCGAAGTGGTCACTCATCGGATTAAAAGTTCACCTTCGGGAGTTTGTAAACCCCGAATCCCAGTGGTTTAAAATTATTAAAAATGATTTCGGACGCCATAATTCAATTTTGCTTCAGAATATATAGGAATTTCACCTATTTGTTCATAAAATCAGAATTTAGCCCACGGAAAAATCCGTTTATTCAGGAAACAATTTTATCGTGTCCTGATAAATATTTCTAACCTTTATTCAATTTTTTCAAAAAATAGCAACGCCTTCATTTTTGCCTATAGAAAAATCCGGTTGAATCACCGAACACCCTGACGTGATACGCAAAAAAAATAGTCAATTAGATGGCGAATTGCAAGAGGAATTTCCAGGAAATGAGCTTCAAAGGCAGAAAAACTGGTTGCTGGAATAACAACACCCAACAAAACCCTTGAAATGTGCGGAAACTAGTTGCAAGTATGTTGCTTTTAATGCCTCATTTCAGGTGAAGGCTGCAGAGTATGTTGACTAACTTCAACAGATTTGCTTGTTGCTCCTCAAAGGGCCAATTACTGGTTTTCTAGCCAAGGGTGAACCACAAATGCGAATAATTTGAACAGCATTTTTGTGAAAGGGTTCGGCTTAAGTGGTGCGAATTACTGCCAAACACTGGGGGAAAATTCCTAGTGTAATTACAAGACATTTTGCTTATCTTTTGTAGCACAAAAAAGTTTTTGAATCAAAGATGGAATTGAGAACTTTTACTTTCTTATTTGAGAAGGAATCAATTTGATAAATTTGGAATTGAAGGGTTTCTGGAAATGTTCATCAATTTGTCTGGCTAGTTTTAGTGTGCAGACTTGAAATAAAAAATTATGGGGGTACAGTTGTATTTTTGAAGGAAATTTCAGATGTTACTTGGTTGATTGGTATACTTTTTTAAGATTGGATTTATATGTGATTAACCCTTGGGTGGCAGTGCTGGGATTTATTTGCAAAATATTGTGCCAGAAGGCATAAAATGAAGGAGGGATGATCACAAAAGCCAAAGTTCAGAAAATTCCTAATTTTATTTTTCTGAAGACAAATCTTCCTATAAACCTTAGTTGCTGTGTGTCATTTTTTTTTTAAATTTCTTTCAGAAGGTCAGCATTGAGGGATTTCAGACACAATGGGTTTACCTTCCCTGGATTTTTTTGGACTTCGGCTACTCAGTCAAATCTTTGTTTTGGTGACTTTTGTTATTCACACCAAAGTGCACAAGCATGCAAAAATACTGCCACAGGATGGAATTTAACCTTCTGCCATATATAATGGTTGAAAATTCCTTTTATTGTCAACATTTCATCTTGTTAAGTTCTCTTGTTGAAATTTATAGAAAAATTTCATAACAAAACAGCCCTCAGATTGTAAATGACCTCTTCAGACATTATATTTGGCATCCAATGGAAAATCAATTCTTACTTGATCCTTCCAGTGGTAAGCAGACAATATAAACCTCATATAAAAATATTTGGATTGACATTAAATCAGCTCTTGTTCATTTAATTGTATTGTGGAATGTAGTAAAATTCTCCCAAGATTGTAAGTCTCCCATAAAAAATTCCTAGAGAAAAAAAAACGAATTTCTATACAAAAATGCAAAGAGTTTCAATTAGTGAGGTTTGAGTTTTCCAGGTTCTAGTGTATCTTATTTTCTCCATAAAATTGTTACTGGTGTACTTGATGCAGTCATACCCATATCTTCCACTGCAAAACATTCACCAGTTGACTTTGAGTTAGGGAGGTTTTTAAAGCATTGTTTCTAAGGGAATTCATAGGGAAACTTGTTAAAAAAAATCAACTTTGAGAGGTATTTGACTTATGAAGGTACAACTGTATAAAAGGTGCAACTCCGTTTGTATTTGCAGTACATCTCTCAGGTTGTTTCGATTCTATTCCGCAAAGAAAAACCGGTCCTTGAATCATTCTTATCGCAAATAAAATATAATACAGTATTGTACTTGAATATTCTGGCATTAACTTTTTTTGACACTTGAAACCTTTGATATCCGAAGAAACGCAAGTGTCGCAATTTATAGTGTATTCGAAAGCATTATTAGTCTTCTCATCAAGAGTCAATTTAATTCCAAGAAAAACGACGAGGACAGTATAAAGGATACATTTTCGGTTCTTTTTTTCCCCTTCGTCCTGGGGATGAAAAGGGAAGACTCCCGAGAATTGTATGCTTGGGACTTCAGAATGGAATCTAAACAATATCCTGTAAAAGAAGACCCTCAAACCTGGGAATCCCTTCGTTCAGCATATCCCCCACGGGATCTAACAGAACCTAAACTGCTTTAATGAGCACCGGCATGGCAATGTCGATGCCACTACATGCAACATCATAATGGGGGCTTCCGGGATTTTTTTCCGGTTGGAACACGTTACCGAAGTCACGTATGCTCCTTTTTTGGGATAATTTATTACCATGGGTGTCATTTCTGTATCGTACGAGAAGTTATATACACATTTCCTTGTCGTTCGAAAAACGTTCCCATTTCGACGTCTTGATCATTTTTGACAGACGATTCTTCTGAGGAACCTTCGAATTCGGGATGCGGGTTCATATGGTTTCTATACTAGCTCAATGTTTCTGTAAATAGTATACCGTACTTTATTTTTTT